CGATCGATACCTAAAAATCGTAATGCGAGAGGTATTGTACGATGGACGTGTTCGAGGAAAATAATCGCGCACACGTCGGATCGGGACGTTGTCGATGATCGAAAAGAGCGTCGAACAGGCGCGAAAGCAGCGTCGAGCGCGTCGCGAGTCGCGTGGACGCCACTTGGTGAACTGCGACCAGCGCCGCGGTGCCCGTGAGGTACAAGGAGTCAACGTGTCGCAACATTTGCAGAACTAGAGAGCAAGGATCTTCGCGAAATTTCACTTCGGAAACTTTGAAGACAAACGAATTTCATAAAGACGGATTATGCGTTCCTTTATCTTAAATTAGTAAAGATCTTACATAATTCAAGAATGGAACCCTCGTAGATAATTCAAGGAAAAGAATACCGAGGAATTTCCATAAAAAGAATGTACCATGATTCGACCCCTGTTTTCGACGAAAAGTCGGACCACGCGTAAACATCGAGTGAGTAGTTTTGAAAGAATTGGCGCGTAAAATCTGCCACGAAGCGTTCAAACTTTCGGTTTAAAAATCCTCTTGGAATACAAAATTCGTGTTCAGAATGGCGCAATAAATTCTGGATGAAATAATTATTGCTAAAAATTTCATTGTAGTATAATAAAAAAAATTCTACATTCAGATGGGGTAATCAGACCTTGAGGACATAAATGCCTACACAGGTAAAATTTCCTCAAATATTTAAATAAAATAAATACGAGCCCCAAAAAAATTTCCCATTGTCTTCGCATCAAAACTTACCGCACCTAATTTTTCAAAAAGTAATCTAAATAAAGAACGACTTCTCAGCGTCATACACTGATTCGCGCGCGAATTTCAAGTTCTAAAGCTTCACTGAAACGTTCGCAGTTACATATCCAGATTGAATTTTTGTTAGGGAATCCAAGACACTCGATGCTGCCGCATACTCGCACGATCGATCCTTTTGTTCGTGATCGTGAACTTGAGCACTGCGATCGATACCTAAAAATCGTAATGCGAGAGGTATTGTACGATGGACGTGTTCGAGGAAAATAATCGCGCACACGTCGGATCGGGACGTTGTCGATGATCGAAAAGAGCGTCGAACAGGCGCGAAAGCAGCGTCGAGCGCGTCGCGAGTCGCGTGGACGCCACTTGGTGAACTGCGACCAGCGCCGCGGTGCCCGTGATAGCGACGACTGGCACCGTGTTCCATTGGCCGATGGGACGAAAGCCACCGTCGCCGCCACCGTCACCGCCGCCGTCACCGCTGCAGCGCAAGCGTCTCGAGCTTTTTTGCTTGGGAACCGATCAAATCACCTGCCGGATACCTGCACTCTTTCCTGTCACAGTCCGGAAGAGGATCCACTGTGCATTGAGATAGACGGGGCTTTAAATGAAACCTTTTTTACGTTCGTCCAAATTGATTCCATGGTTTCGTATCATCGTTTCATTTTACTATTCGTATCAGTTATCATTTTAATTATTATTTAGTTATTATTATTAGTATTGGTTATGAAATTGATTGTCGGTATCAGTTATTAGCCTACTCTCCATTAGTGTTACGTAGGGTCTTAGCATCAATTGTTAGTCTGAATTTTTATCTCAGTCTGTTATTAGTATGGATTACTACCTTGATAACAATTATTATCATTAATCGATTATTACCGATTAATTTCAACTATCTTGGTATTGATTATTTGTATCAATTATTATTTTTGTATCAATCATTAGTATTGGTTATTACCTTATTATCAATTATTAGTGTCGATTATCAATACTAATTATTAGTATCAATTATTATCTACAATTTTTAGAAATTGACAATATTCGTGAAAATGAATTTTTATCACAAGTGAACTAAAATATAGTCTCGCTGTATGGCTTTCGACAATGCTGTAAAAGTGAAAAGTGAGCCATATAAGTAGAATTTCAGCCATGGAGTCTTAGGTCATCAAAGCCCGTCAATTTCAAATTATCAAATTTCCTACATTTAAAATTAAAAAATTTCAAACTTGTAAAATCTTTAAAATTATTAAATTTCTAGATCCCTAAAATCCTAAAAATCTAAATTCCCAAATTGACCAATTTCTCAATTTCCAAATTTGACAATCTAAAAATATAAAAATGTGAAAATTTAAAAATCTGTATACTCGAAAATCTGATAAATGAAATAATTGTGTATTAATAAATATTCCTCAACAAAGTGACATTAACCCTTAAAGTACCCATCAAGCCATCCCCAATGAGTCATCATAAATGGTCATATAAAAAATCTACCCTATATAGAATCAGTAGAATAATTTATACTAATCTTGAATTTTGAAGATGCATTTATCGGAGATAAAACTTTTCAGATAAATTAATTGCAATTTCATTTCCAATTTCCCCGAACGAAAGATAACAAATTATGTAACTTCCTGTGTAATAAAAAAAGACACATCTTATTCCATGTACGAGCTAATGAACGTACAAGACAACTGTATAAATCACACATTGATTAATAGCCTACGAATACGGCAACTGAATTCATTAACGTACGAATGTTCGTTGTACACGGATTTCAAACCGTACTAACAGAGGTTTATTGAAGTAGACTTGACCCACTTCTCGTTTCAATCTCTATACGTACAATAATCCTCAGGGCTTATAAACGTATTTGTAATTAATTTTACGCAAAATAGAATTATTCGCGACAGCTTTCAACTAGCGAATTCGAGCGGATTAATCCGTTCCTTAATTAATTTGTCGTGTTAAGAATTACGATTAGTCGGTTGAAAGCAATCCTGGATAAAATGTGTCCCTTTTCATCCCTTTTCCGGACGAAAAATTCGCTCTACGCTTTTGACTATGAAAATGTCAAGGTATCGCAGATTCTCCGGCGAAGAGGAGCATTTGAGGCGTTATGCGATACACGGAGTGACAAGTGCATTAGACCGACGTAACATTAGATCCATCCATCTTATTTTACTTAGAAGACTATCGAATATTGAATCTTCTATATCTGCTTTTGTATTATCTTAAAAGCATTATTCGAACAGATAAAACTGTTAAACTCATTTTTAACCCGTTAACCTTTACGAAAAATGTAAAATAATAAATGCATACATTAAAGAAGCTAGCATGAATTAACTGCATCGCTTTTTGTTCTCTTAATAGCTAAATTTAAATTGAAATTTCAAGCCACGATACCCGTGAAATTCTTAAAAATTGCTACAACCGCAAACTGCAACGTTCAATTTTATTTTATAACGTTACAGAAGAGAAACATTTTGGGTCAAGCTTAATTTCTTCCGAACGGTGTAAAACCGTAAAAAGTGGACTAAAAAAAGAAGTACCCTTCCATATGGTACTTGTCTTCACGATTCGATTATCGATACTCAGGCTATACTCGACGTTCCAATTTCCTCCTCTTTTTTTTTTGAAAGGTTTAAGGTTTTATCCCGAAAGACACGTACCAAAATTTCTTACATATAATTTACGCGAAATCGTTTTTCAAAGATTTCGAGGAATCTTATTAATATCATGTGATCCTTTTTGATACGGGGAAATATTGAATGTAAAGTGCGCCGATGAAATCCTCGAAGCGCGCAAACTTCAAATATTTACACCGTGCTTCGTCGTATCGATTTTTAATTACTACGTCGAACAGCCAGAAGCATCTTCAATAATTTCGTTTACAACGCAAATGCCTCGCCTCACGGCAATTTGTATACTTCATTAAGAGACAGAACGGGGATAACGCATTTCATGTTCCTTATTTTAAAGAAGCAGCCCTCATTTATCGTTTAAATCAAGTTTATTCCATTTCCTGTAATGCACCGCTCAGAATAATAAAATGAGTCTTTCTAGGAAAGCTTTTACTATTTTTCTGAAAAATGTATCAAATATTCTGTATGTTCATACAGAGTGTATCAAATATCCGATCAAATTTTCGATTAAATGCAATTCATTAATATGAAGCTTTTTCGAGGTACAGAAAATTTAAATATCTGTGAATTTGTAATTTTAAGTACAGTAGGATCTTGTTATATTCTCACGAATCTTTCGCTAATTTTATAATTATAACCATCTCACTCTAAAATTGATAAATAATATGTATGTGCATTGCCGATAAAACGATCTACCAGCGACCAGTTCATACTAACAAATTTTATGAAAATTTTACGTAATTATTTTCATCCAATTTTACGTAATTATTCTCATCAAATTTTACGTAATTATTTTCATCAAATTGATGTATCGATTACTGTTTAGTACACATCGACAAACAGCGAAGTCGTTCTAATAAGTCTATATCGAAAATAAAGGGTAACTGTCACAAAGAAATTGCAAAATGCGTTCCTAAAGCTCATATCTTTTCTTTTTCTCCATTCTATTTCCATCGAGCTTCCTCTCTGTCGAGTGATTTATTCGATCGAAACCCGGGCAATTTGTCGTGTCAGGGCGCGTGGGTTAATTCTTAATTTTAGCCCCGGGGGTCAACGCGGCTCGCACCGGAAGCTCATAGTCGCCTCGAGAAAGTAATTAGCATCTGTTCGTCGATAATGAATCAAACTTTCGCGATTCCGTTGTTTTCTCGAAACGTATTTCGGGATACATTCGCGATTTCTCCGCGAATAGCTGACGGAAATGTCGTCGATGAAAGGGCGGAAAAGTTGAGGAGAGAGATGTTCCACCTGTACATTTTCGCCCCTTAAAGCTTTGATCTTTGATCCGACAGAGTGGATGTTCGTTTTTGCTTCGTCCCCGATCCAAAATAAGCTTCCTACGCAAGGGTCATCGGTATAATACGCATTCTTGTCGGAAAAAGGCAAGTAATGGATGTCATAATGTGTAGCACCGTGGGTGAGAACACGGTTAATTATCCGGGATAAAGAGCCTCCAAAAGTCTGAGACCATTAGTAAAAAAGTACTGATATTAGGCTCTGAGAAATGCTCATTCGTCGGTGAACGAACGTTTCTTTGCAAATGTGAATGGCTGAAATTTAATTGTTACTGAATATTTGAAACTCACCTGATAGCTGGCGTTCCGATTGCGAGCGTGGCTGCTGCAAATTCTGAAAGCAAACGAAAGCATTCGATTAATTTTATCATCGATGCAAATACTCGGTGCATCAACAATTGCACCGGACAGTGGTTCCCAACATTTTCATATATATGTCTGAAACATATTTCAAAATTTACTGTAGCATGGAAACTGTATCTTAAATGTAGGAGACACCTAATTCCTTAGATTATTTTAATTTTATGTAGGACACAATTGTGCGATAAAAATAGTAAACAAGTGTTTATGATTAATACATAATTTTTGTTTGACAAGGATAATGAGCAAAATATTATGACAATGATACGAACCATAATTTAATTGAATATAATAACTGATGAACAAAAATCAGATTCAGATACATTTGATTCGATCTTAAGTTACTTGATTTTTAATATTATAGTTCCATATTTGGTCCTATTTATTCATATATGATATATTGATTCTGTTGTCCAAATCATATCTGACCTTCTGTCTAAATCGTATCTGATCATATTGAAAATAAAGATGATGACGACGAAATTGTTATACTATATTGCGGAATAATTGACAGAATTTTGTGTCACTAGTTGAGAACCACTGAAGTCAATTAAAAAGGAGACCAGTTATCGAACACTCCAAAGGACTTAACAAATCTACTCCATCAAGAAGAAATATAGAGCAAAATTTCTATTCAGTTTGAAGTAACAATTTCCATCGTTTCCAGATCAATATGCTGATTCAAGACCGTGCAAACGCGCGAATCGCGTGTCAACCATAAAAATCAGCGGCACCCCCGTAGCTGCATCGCGTTATCATCGATTCGATCGCGCTATAAATGTTTCCGACCTCGTCGTGATCGATCGATACATTTACCTAAATTCGCTCGAACTATTCGTGCGAGTATTCGTCGAATAAAATCCGGAAAATTTAATTAATTGGCGAACGATGCTCGCGAATCCCGCGGTGGTTTCTCTCCAAACAACGCCGTATTCCGACCCGGCGGACCTATTAATTAAATCACTTGTCCCGGTTATCGCTAGCCGATTTTCCGTATAAAATTAGCAAGGCTTGATGGCCGATGATTGCTCGTCTCAAATTGCATTCAAATCACTTGGTCATGGCGCCCGTTAATTGGCCGACGTGCGCGTCGTCGAAATTGCCGTGGGCGGACGCGTTATTATCATATTTTCTCAGCGATGTATCGAATTAAGCCGCATCGCTCGCGGGGGCGTGTTTCAGAAAGAGAAAAAATAATAGACGGGGTGGGAGCGAATCGGCAAACGGGGTTATTCCTCGGCAATGGTGGAAAGAGACCCAGGCGAGGAGATCGAACCATGACCTACATGCGATATCGAGCCAATCCGAGCAACGTCGAAACGAACGACCATGACCTTATCCACGCAATGCCGCTACAAAGCGCGTTCATCGATTAATTCCAAGTACAAATAATTTCATAAAAAGGGCAACGCGTGGGACGATGGCGATCTGCTTTAGAAATGGTCAACGTGTCAGACGAGGGTTGAAACTGGATTCTTACCAAAGATAGGAAACCAGATAAAGTTTCGAACGTGTTGACTGACAAGTTTTGGGGAACAAGGATTATCCGTCTCCTGGGGTGGTTCAGTAATGGAAGTCGATATTTGGACGTGGGAGTAAATGTTACCGGGGTAACATTACGAGGGTGCGTTTCATAACGCTTCATAATGGTGAACATAATGAAAGAGTATTGAAATTGTGACTCACGGTGACAATGTTTCCTTATTGCTAATAACAAGTTCAGGTAATATGATCTCTGGAAATTTCGTGGGTTAGTTTGCATAATTTGATGTACACTGAGGTATATAGTTTAATAAATTGTAATCCTTCTTATCAAATGTTTAGACTATCAAGCTGGATTATTATTACCAACAAGAAATTTTGGAAACCGTAATGATTTATAAAAATAAACTCTAACCTAATCTAACGTAATAAAACCTTTACAAAAATTTATGTGATCTTAACAATATATATAAAAAAAATTTTTGTTGGAGGTACTTGTTATTGTTTAAAGATCTACTTTGACAAAACATTAAGAATTTCTCGATCGAACTCTGCATTTAATTTAACAAAATCTGGAAGGGTCTTCAAACCCTTCACTACTTAAACCCATCACTACCAGAAAATCGAAAAATTACATAAAAATCAGAATACTGTCAAAATCGAGTTATAAATATTTACCAAATATATCAGCAGTATATGTAGTTAAATTTTATTTAAATTGTCCTGTTGAAATTTCTGTCCAAACATCATAAAAGAAAAGAACGGATGTTAAGAAGTTTCATGACGTCGAAATTGATGAAATCAATAGTCCTTCGTCACGAGATACGAAGCAATAAAGTTGAACTGTTAATCGCGATCGGGCTATAAACGCCTCGGAGTTGCCCCTCGAATTGGCGCAGTATTTACAAAAGAACGCAAACAACTTTGCAAATATTTCTCGAACAATAGCCAATAGGCGGGTAGCTCGCATTTAACGAGCTGCATAACTTCAAAGAAGAATCCCGATAAAACTCGCCAACGGTACAATTTATTTCTTCTGCCAGTTCTTTTTTTTCTTTCGTTAACCCCTTTCTTCCTTTTCTCGTTCGCACAATTGCAAGCTCATGCTTCGGTCAAGGTGCACGGTGAAAAGCTTCTCGACGAGTGTCGAACGCCATCATTGTTCTTCCGTCTGGGAAGCGATCGTAAAAATTTTCATCGGCTTCCTTCAATAAATATCTTTTCATCGCTTTCCTTTGATAAATATCTTGTTTTCTTTATGACCCAACCGTCTGCATGTAATCACGCCACAAAACGGATTGAATCATGAAAACTCATCCTTGGTCTAATTACGTGCACTTCGATCATGCAAACGGTGCACTGCATTTGGACGCACAAGGTGCAATTGCAACGCTGAAATTAAAAGGTTAACTCTATGGAGGCACGCTCTCTATTAATGTTATGCTCCCGGCTATTTTTAATTCCCTGCGTGTGGGAGGGTATTTAGATTTTCACGCAAAGCACCTGTGAAGGTAATTGCGGGGTAATTGTGCGAAAACCTTTAAACTCTTTGCGGACGCAATTTGAATATCGTGAAAGGTGGTCAGTACAAATTATACTTGCTGGAAAAATATTTTAATGTACAAAATAATTTACTGATAATAGAAGGTGGCAAATCGAAGTAGGTTGTTGGGCCAATGATCATAGCAGTCAAGGCCCAAATAAAATCAATCAATCGAAGTAGGTTGAAGAACTTGTTAACTGAAATCTGGAAATGCAACACTTCAAAGTTAATTTTTTGAACTCATAAGTTCATGTATTTCTGAGTGTCCACATTTCTAAACAACAAATTGCTAAATTGTAAAATGTCTAAATATCTAAAATAAATATCTGGACCTCCCAAAAGTTTCTATATCCACAAACTATAAATTTCGAAACTGTTACATGCAATATGCAAATCAGCAAATTTCTAACATTGAAACTGCACGTTCAAAGTTACCTAACCCCACAACAAAGTAGCGTTAGAAACCCGGTTAACCAGAGACCTTGTTGCTACATCCATGTGCAATGATTTTTTCGCTGCCCGACGGAAGTTTCTATCCCACTCTTTGAAGGGCCCTTTGCACACACCACCCACACGCGATGGCTATTACAGGTATGAGAGATGCCAACCGATTAATATGCCGGCATGGCTCGATACCCCATTAGCTTTGATCACTCGCCAACACCAAGAGACATCGAGCCCACGTACGTGTGCATCGTGAAAACGTGTGTTTACCAAGGCAATGATGCTCACTCGTGCGCGAACTGCCACCTCGTGTATCGACACTTCATTGATAATACGCATTCAACGGCGGAACTCTACCGAAAACGACCAGATAAACGGTTTTTCTAGAATTCGCTCTCCAAAAGCCACGCTCCTGACCCTTCAGGAAATAAAACTCGATAAATCTTCGGAGGACTACTTTTGGTTTCTCGTTCGTCCTTGTAGTGAAATATTGTGTGTCGGGTTCAAAATGTGGTTCGGGTACTTTGATGGTGATTCGGGTGGGGAAATGGGTAATGGAGAGGTTTGGGAAGTTTGGGATTTTGGGGTGCTTTTGATATTTGGAGATTTGAGTGTTTGAGAAGGTGGAAATTTGGGGGTTTGGAAATTTGGAGGTTTGGAAATTTGGGAATGGAGGAATTTGGGGATTAGGGTGATTTGGGGCTTTGGATATTTGGGGGCTTGAAAATTTCGGAATCAGGAAAGTTGTGAATATTGGGATTTGAGGATTTAGAAATTTAAGGGTTCAGAAATATAAGGGAGTGGGAATTGGAAATTTGGATTCGAGATCGCGGAGATTTGGGGGTTTCGGAATTTGGGGGTCTGAGAATTTGGGAATGGAGGAATTTGAGAATTAGGGTCATTTGGAAATTTGGAATTTAGGGTTTGAAAATTGCAAAATCAGGGAATTCGGAAATATTGAAATTCAAAAATGAGGAATTTAGAAATTTCAAATTTGGAAACTTGAGAAACTGCAAATATACAAATTTAAGAATTCAGAAACTTGAACCCCTCATCCATTTTTCTCAAACCTACTCCAAATTCCACCAAAGATTAGTTCCCATTTCCAAATGTTTTTTTACACGAAAGCCCTAGGTCCGAAGAAATATAACAAATTATCGTTCCCCACATGGGAAAATAGCGTGTGAGAGGTCTATATTTAACTTTAACAAATATCTATCTTTGATATCAATGGTTTCATTCGGTTGAGAAGAGACTATTTTTTCCGCAAAATCACAGCTTCCCGCGTTGTATACCGCGTTGAGTAATAGGCGGTCGTGTAATTTATGGGGATTTCAACGCGTCTCGGTTGGTAGCATTTAACCTCGTAACGTCATCGGTGGATGTCCGGTGTACGTAAATCGTTCAAGGTCAACTCGAACGCTTTGATGCTAAAAACGACCCTTCGTATCGATGCACAACTGAACATAACCAATATTCTGTGCTTACTCGAGCTGCCATTTTTTCGTCGTTCCTGTCAGCCATGAAATAACAGCCAAATTTTGGAGGATTGACTTATTTAGTTTTTTTTTTTTTAATAGAACTCAATATTGGATGTTAATTATTTTGTATCAAAATATGGTAAATACGGTAGAGTCTTGTTATATTGCCTTTTGAGTTTTGTATGAATTTTTGTGAACACATATGACTCTCATATTAGTAATCATACATGTTATATTGGTATAATGGAAGTCTATTATTAATGAGTTTCATTTAACTATAACAGGATAAATAATATTTTGAAGGTTGTAAATTCTATGAAGATCATGTTTGTGAATTTATTAAGTAATCATTTCTATCTGACATTTAGTATAATTGAATAATAACTGTGAAGTATATTATAATTCGAATATATGTTATGATGAAAAAGTTTGAGAATTATCTAATTAACGTATGAAATTATCTAGTGATCCACAAAATTCTCAATTGACGAAATAACTGAAAATTTTGAAGAATCTAAAAATGCCCAACTTTTACATTCTTGAACAATTTAATTAATTTGTGTAGAGTTATTTGGTAATATGGAAATATGTTCCCGACATAACAAAAAGCGAACATTACACTTGATAATATTTGAAACGCGAGCAAACTTTTCGTCGATTGAATAATTAATCTCGGTCGAGGCTAAAATTAATCTCTCATCCGGCGCACTTGAAAAAACAGGCGTGAAGCTTTCAGCTCTCGTTTCGTTATTAATTTTCTATGAGACGCGGCATTACGTCAAAAGAATTACTAATTTTCTTTCGTTTTCGTGTTTCTAATTCTCCATCGAGCTTTACGAGAAAAACTGGGGAAACGAAGTTTATTTTCCAAGAAGGCTCGCCGTTTCCGCGGATTATTTATCTTGCGTTTTTGCCAGACATGAACAAATATTATTTCTGCAACTTTCATTTAATGACAAATTTTGTGGCAACTTTGTAACCCAACTTGAGTTTTTATAAAATTGCGTTCATATAAATAACTTTTAGATCACAACGTTGCATTATTTTAACGTAAAAATCCCATTACCAAGTAACACACGAAATTGATTTAAATTTCGAAAAAAGTGTGATAGGAACATATTATGGTAGGAAGTCTATAACATAAGGTTAAGAGGAAGTTCTTTTTTTCTAGTTAAGAAGAAATAAAACTGAAACGACCAACGAGCAAACTACGATTAAACTCAAGTGTAAAAAGAGACCACGGAAACTGCAACCAACTAATTGAGTGTGAAAATTGTTGACGAAGAGTCTAAAATTAGCGAACAGGTCTAACACGTATCGATCGTCTCTATTCGATGCACGTTCTCCTCATTTTCGAATAGAAATTGAATTTACATCCTCAAAGGATATTAAACTTTTTATCTCTCGATTAATATTTAATGATATTTAATTCCCAACATTTATTACATCGTAAAACTTCTGTATACACGTTTAAAAGGATTTCAAACACTTTAATTTTATGCTTAACCTGATGATAATTTTCGAATCATTTCATCATTACAACTGTTGCGATAAACATTCACAATTTGCAATTTAAAGACGAGCAAAATAATAAGTGTACAGAAATTATAAAGCAATAGTAATTACAAGATATCGGTCCTCGATCAATCTGTAATCGTACGAATCATTCGAATGGTACATTGTTGATTCGTGAAGTAGGTGGAGATAGTCGTCACGGGAAGGATTAAGCTCATCATGTTCACTAAATATCAGTTGTACAATCGTTGTACAATCGAATGTACATGGACCTTATATAAACAAAAATCCGATCTATTTACGAGATATTGAATGACATGGTGTCCCGCTGAGATTACAAATTTAAGATCTCATACGCTCACATTTTTCATTTTCGTAGACAGGAGATCGTGGCATGGGTGTTCGTCAAGTAAATTCAATTAATTTTCAAATTTTAGAATTTTAGAGTTTTCTTTGCAGTTCTTCGAATCTTGTATTCCTCAATTTTCTAATTTACTTCCAAATTTTCAAACACAAAAAAAGTCATAAATCAAAGTTAAAGATTCTCAAACTTTCAAGTATTTTATATACAGCAGAAATTTTGAAATTAATAATTGATCTGTTAAAATTGAAATTAAATAAAATGTCACTACTCCACCTCGCAATTTGTAAACCTCTACTAAAGTGTAAGTATAAAGAACGACACCTAAAAAAATATATTTTCAAAGTAAATGTGAAAGTACCGTTTTCGCTCATAACACGAGAACAAACAAGAGTACACGAAAGAACAGCGATCGCGAAGGGGTCTTTCAGCGAATCAATTCCCCGCGAATCGGTTAATTTGCAAGATATTCGAGTTGCTTCGTGTAGCAGGTGTAGATATACCTGTCATGAAAGGGAAATTAAGGTTCATCGTGCCAACAAAGTGTCAATCTTACGATGCCCTGAGCCGGCCCACACGTACCGTACACGCACCGCAACAACACGCCGAGTGAAATACAAATACCGTGTTCGCGATGGTCAATGCCACGCAACGTACACGCTTCACGTGGGCAGAGACTAATGGTGGCCCATAAAGCGCGGATCACCGAACGGACTAACAGTCGAAGCAACGTATCTCCGCTTGGTAATCTCGATGCCAAATGCCATACACGCTTTGCTGCCACGTGATTAATGCACTCTATTGAACCTAGGACGATACTCTTGGCTAAATCCCGAACTTCACTCGTGCTCCTCGAGTCATGCTCGTCTCTCTGTTATCGATATTTAAAGAAATATCTCTCCGAGACACGTTGTTGCCTCGTACCGGTCGGACAATTGTCAGTATGTTCGGGATAGGCTACGGTTATTTATCATTGATATCATAGCGTTGATCGATACGGACACGGGAATGTGAAATGGTCGCTGGAACTTCCATGCTTTCCAAACTTTTAATTGCCCCGTTAACGACTATTTAATCCCAATTAAAATACAAATCTAATTGAACGAGTTAGAAGCTGCAATTTTCGAAAGGGAAGTTGCAGATTTAATTTTATGACTTTTGCAATAGATCATGAATTTTCAGTGATAGTATGATTGTTGATTAATGAATACAAACAGAATTGTATTTTCAGTTTATAGTGATTTAATCATTGTGTTACATTTTAGAAGTAATTATATATTTAATAAAAATGACTCACCGGCACCTTCCCGTTCGTTTTCTGAGCGTCGTTGTTCTCCAACAATGGCGCGCTGCTGCTCTTTCCGCCCATCTCGACGCTGAGGGGTTCCGGTTTTAGTTGAAGACTCGCTGCCGAGGGCGAAGAGGGTGCACGCGGAGGAGTTTCCAACAATTCTCCAGAACTTAAAGAACTGCTCGCGGTGGACAGACCTAATAATATAATGAACTAAATTATTCTCTATAATTCTTACTCACAATCTGAAAAACCAACTCGAAAGTTCGAAGATTGAAAAATTCAGATGTTTGAAAACGGGGTACTTTAAAAACTTAAATATTCATCACTTTGAAAACTGGCAAAAATTGGAAAATTTGTAAATTTGGATGTGCAAAAATTTGGAAGTTTGAAGATTAGAAGGTGTGAAATATTATAAGCTTAAACATTTGAACATTCGAACATTCGAATATATGAATATTTACGAATTTGAATATTTGAACATGTGAATGTTAAAAAATTTTTAAATCTGAAAATTAGAAAATTGGTAGGTTTTAAAATTAAGAATTGGTCGCTCCTAAAATTTGTTGAACTTGCATAAAATTTGAGTGCAATGCGAATTGCAAATTTTTCTCCCCCCAGAATACCAAACTTTCATAATTGGACATAAAACAAAATTAATGACCGAAAAAAATCCCTCACTGCATTCTATTCAGTACGAAAATATCTTTTCCTCGTTGCGAAATTATTAGCCATGTTATCTCGTTACTGTCCATATAAAGTCCACGATCCGCAGTCAGCCATTTCCTTCGTTACGTTTCCCTCGGGAACGCGTTGTTTCGTACGCTTTATCCGCTTCCATCGGCTCGAAAATAACATTGATTGCCATTCAACGATTTTTCCGCTCGCGGTAAAGGGTTTTCTGCGATCAAAACCACGCGGGACAGAGTTAATTGCTTCGCAAACGGACCGGACAAAAGTGGCGTGTTTGACTTCGTGGAATATTGTCCTTTCGAACGAGTTGCCTTTCCAGCCGGTGCAATTCGCGTGTCTCTTCAGCCGTGCATTATGGCCGCGTGTTTAGAGGCACGATTAGCAGGCTTTCGTGCTTCGGTGCACGTTAATGAAACTTACACAACGGCAGATTCGTCGGACGAAGCGGTTTGGTCCTCGGCAGGGTGTCGTCCAAGCCGCTGCTGCTGTCCACCGCGTCCTGAGAATATTGATCGTCGTTTTCTTTCGTTTGCGTGTGCACGCTTTCGCGTTTGATCCACACGTCTTGAGAATGCTTGTCGTTTCGCGAGCTCAGTTTCGATGGTCGTCGCCGGATCCTCTCCCAGGTCTCCTTGCGATGACACTTGTTCGACGACGGGGCTGCTCGACAGACATTTTACGTTCCATCAATTCTTTGTATCAAGTATTTGGGTTATATTTTAGATAGGTATCGTGTTTAACTAAATGGTCGTTGATACGGTTTGACGATCACAAGTAACAAGTTCAGTGGCCATCAGAGGCGGTGCAAAAGATTAGGGAAGGGTGCTATAGTTGGCGTATGAATACGTTTTTGAGTAGGGCTGCTTTCAGGTGGAGCACTTCAGGTGAGACATTTAAGGGGTCTTATGACCTAAGCCACAAATGTGCACCACAAAAATTTATGAAATTATTTATGATAATATATACCATTCATTTAGCTATGTATGACGTATTGTATAAGTCATTTATAATACACTATACGTGTATACATAGTCATTTATGTATACACTACATAATAGTGTGTGATATGTAAATTAAAAGAATACTAATATATGAGCTAATTTAGTTTAAAGGAAGATTATATTGCGTAGAGGATTTTGTAGAAGAGGTGATCCATCAAAGGGTTAAAGGGCGGAGAACATCGTTGCAGGAAGGCTCGCGGCAATTTCACCGTAATTCCATTTCGAGAAACGATAATCGACTTACGCTTAACTATCCGTCGGTCTGTGCTTCTAGGAGGACTGGCAGTGCCGATACCGCTCTCGAGCGGAGATGCTCGGTCGATTGTATCCGGCGACAGACTTCCGGAGGAAATCTCGTCCATGCTCTGCAGAAGGTCCTGGGAGGAGGACGAGGATCTATTGTCATCGTCCACGGTGTCTTGCGGCGATGCTGGATCCAACGTGCTTTCGTCTTGGAACGACTGCGAATCCATTTGCGATTCCGCTGCGAACATTCGTTTCAAAGCAGAGATAATACGCTTGCGAACAACTACGAAATTCGCAGAATTCAAAGTTCTCTCGTTGTTCTCAAGCTCTAAATTCGTTGAGAAGCAGTTAATTAATTTGCGAAGCTTTGCATAGAACGTTGAAGAATGTTTGTCGAGTCCCTCTTTACTTTTATGTCAAAGAAAGTGTCGTTTTAGTCGTTATGACGAACGGTTATAATAGTGAACTACTTGTTTTTATTTCAAAGATAAATTATGCCGAGTAAATTGTCCACTAATATTCCTACTGTTGTACAAATGAATATTCTTTATGGACGTCAAGGTATCTCAATAAAACGTTTGCACTTTACACTTTGTTACAAATGTTTACTTTGAATGTTAATATCGGTGTGAAAATGTTAGACAATATTTATGTTGACAGTTTACTACCGAAGATGTTAAGCACACAAACGCATACTTTTGCAGAATTCCTCTCCACTTCTTCACGCAAAGTTCGTAACCGTGTCAATTCAAGAACGACTGAAGTGGAAGTGCAACTTTGAACAATAACAAACTCGCAGAAGTTTTAATAACACTTGGTTATGGAAATTACCTCGAGGAGATTCGCAATCGCTGAAGGTGAAGCTGGAGCTTCTGGAAATAGGTGGTGAAGTTTGCGTTGCCATGTCAAAGCAAGTAAGTGAATCCATTGGTGGGCTATTTGGACAACACGATCCGGAACCGTTTCTAAGCTTTGACAGCAAAGACTGAAGAGAAATTGGTAGCTGAAAACATTCCAATTTGTTTATCATAAAATGTCTTCGTTTTTTGAATGTCTTTGTTAAATAAAACAAATGTCCTCACCGAACCAGATCTGGAGTTCTGCTCATCCATTATCTTTTTCACGTCTCCGTTCTCCAGTTTTCCGCTGTCGACGCTACCAAGGGAGCCAGGATTGTCTTCTGGAAGATCGCAACTGATACCCACATCGTTCCCCCTGGATCTCGAAAGGGAGAACTTTTTCAAGTCCACCGGGCTGATCTGTCTGATGTCCTTATCAGACTCGGACAACCTCTTAGCAGAAACGTCCGAACGCAAGGTCAAAGGAGAAACGGCCCTCTTCTTCGACAAGCCTTCCTTCGAACTGACCCTGCTATTTTTGACATCCTGCGACGTCTCGTTCTCCAACTGAAGAAAGTCCTGATCGGGTAACGAGGACACTCTAACGAGCACAACGTCCTCAGCGTTCTCGCGAAAGACAGGTGCGTGTTTCTTCCACAAGAGTTTCGAGAATGGAGATTTCTTCTCCTCGGTCGGGGTAACCGGTGCCGACTTTGCTCCATTAACGTCCAGCGATTTTTTCTCCTCGTCAAGGTCGTCGGCGTCCATCTGATCATCGTTGCGTCGAAGTCTGGCCAACCTGGGTGTCCTTCTCCGTTTCTGGCTCATCAGGTTCAACGGAAGACTAGTCTTCCTGTGTGCATCCAAACGTTGCCTGGGTGGCAATTTAGCGTTCGATCCATCGATCGTTTTATCGGTGTCGATGACGATGCTGATGTGGGACGACGCGACGGGTTTGTCGGCACCGGTGTCGTCATTGGTCTTCGAACTTATCTCTAGGCGTTTCTTTGGTTGTTCATAACTGTTTTCGAGGTAGTTGGTTCGCGAACCGTCGGCCACGTGTTTGCGATCCAACTTCGACGGTAGACTAGAAGAGTTTCGGTCGATCTGGCCGTGGCACTCCATGAAATTCATCGACGAAGAATTGCTGGGCTCGTCGTAATCGGAATTCACCGCATCGCCGCGTGGATATCGACCCGCGATAACGTCCTGCAGATTCTCCGGCAAACTTCCGCTCTTCCGACGACTGTTTTCCGGCGAAACGACACGATCATGCGGCTCGTCGTAATCGGAGTTCAAGAGCAAACGATGGGCTATCTCGTCGGTGAACAACTTTCCATTTCGTCGGTCACGGTGTGTCTCCCTGTTTCGCCGGGACGATGATCGATCGGTCGATGCCTCGCACGAGCTACCAATGGAACTCTCGCTGTCCGATATGCCGAACTCGTTCAGCAGCTCCCTGTACTTCACGATCCCCGCCGGTTCCTTCTTTTGGTTCCGCTCGAGCTCTTTCGTCAGCTCGTTGATCTCGTTCTCGATCAGCGTGTTGAACTCGGCCAGGATGCTGTTCGACCAATCGCCTATGTCCTCCACACCGTTGCACCCTCTGCCCAAGGAATTTTGTCGTCTGAACGGACAGCTTTTCACCGGTAATGACTTTACGCCACCGTGCACCTCGTTCGTTTGCTTTTCAGGCTGATTCGTAGCTGACTGCGACGGGTACTTTGGCTCGTCGGTAATGAGCAGCGGAGTGCTCGGTGCTGACTCGATGATCTCACCGATCTCCTCCTGTTTCACAGAAAAAACGAGAATGTTTAGAGAAACGGGTATAATCAGCATTCTATCTATAATAACATAAAAAAAATGGAACACGTTTTTGACTCTTTCGGTGTACAGTAATGACGTGTAGGTCAAGTGCCCGTCTAAAAGATTACTTTCAGCTCAGCAGTGCGTGGTAATCATAAATAACTAGATGAAATTCCACTGAAAATATTTCGACCTCTCATTTATTGTGTATCATAATTTATCACGGTAGAATTTATAAATTTCGTGTAATACGTAAAATTGACCAGTTGATTCTGCAATTTAATCGATAACACCTGTGCGAAAGCTGATAGCAGCGACATTGACGTTTCGATTGCTTTCAAGAAAAGCTTGCTTCGCTTGATTATATCGTCAGAAGGCGATATTCACAGCATGTCTTGAGAAATGATGCGTTTCACAGCTTAATAACAGCAGCTGCTGGATTATCAAACTAAAACGTCAGTTAACGCGTTCATAATCGACTGCAGGTTTCAGTGTGAATGTTAAAAGACCTAACACTACATAATACAACTTTCTATAAAGCGGTATTACTCATAAATTATTAATTGAAATGAGATATTTCTTCGTTTATAAATAAGGAAATCATGATGTGCGTACTTTCCCGATTATGTAGAGTCTTGAGTAGAAAACAGCTGATTATTTGATAGAATAGAACATAATCCCGTGATGTTTATTTCGTTTATTAATTCTCTGTGAAGAAAAAATAGCAAATAGCTAACATTTAGCTTCTCATCGTCCGCGCAAAAAACCCTGCAACAATCTCTGTTGATTCCCGTGATACAAGAAAAGGAAGATTAAAACCGCGGTGTGTTCACACGTGTGTATATCGAGGGAGCCCCTTAATAAAATGCTACATAATGAAGCAGTTATGATGCTGACAGAACCGACGCGATCCAAACAACTCGTTCATTTGCAACACGAAATGAAAAATCGACTCGGACGATCCCCTTTTCCAATTATTTCGCGTGCCCGCGACCGGCCATAGAAAGTGATGTCTCTAATTTATGGGCAGATCTTTCCCGTAGACAAGGGTCAATTAACCTTGATCACCGGTTTAGAAACCTGTTCGGTTCGTACGACACTTGTTCGACTTTTCTACTCGGCTGCTGCCGCTTTTACCGATCGCTGATTCGGTTTCACGTTGCAACGTTGTAACGGCCATTTTGAAACATTGAAGATCTCGTGCGTGCGATAACAACGCATCACTTTGACACAAAAACAAAATAAGATGTAACAGAAAGTTTTATACAGTTTTTCTCTTTCAGCAAATTCAATGAAAATTATTAGATTTGATTAACGTTTTGAATACAAAATGGCTGATTAATAACGAAGTGTGTTTGCAGTTTAATACATGTATTATTGTAAATGATTAAGCATTGAATGTATTCAAGTTTAACATTTATGGTGTTAAAAATAAAGCTGTCAATTAATTTTTAAGTACGTTATTGATTATATTGATATATTGAAAGTTGCAACAGTTACAAGATACGAGATCGAAGTTTGGGTCAGCAGTTTGTATCGTTTCGTGTTATTTCAAAAAATCTTGAAGACAACCTTCGAAAGGCCGACCTTCGAAGGTACGATCCATAACGTTCAATCTTATTACTACTTCGTCAATCTTCTGGCTGTCAGTGGTAGGGTCGTTCGTAAAATAAAAGAACACAGTGTTTCGTAACTTTTCACGCCGGCAAAATAAAAATTCACCGCGTTAACTTTCGTGAGATCGAGACTAATTACATCGAACAAAGGATAAATTACGAAACACGATCCGTCGCGAAATTATTAATAAGTTACCAAGATTAATTCGAGGTTACCAGACGAAACGAAGGATATTACAACAAGGAAACAACGGGGCAAAAACTGAAATGACCTCTTTGTTTCAGGCTCATCAATCATTATCATCCATGTGTACGATCCACGTGCTTTTACAATCGTCGCGTTGATTTCACGCGTTACTCCTTCCGCCACGCTTGCACCTTGAGTTTCTCACTTTTCCATGCCAACATTTTCATTTACGAGCGTCTATCCTATTCTGTCCCGCGTGATCTTTGTTCATTCAATTCGGATTTACATAAAGCGAAGCCGATTCGAGCGACTCACGTTTCATGCTTGATAGCGACGACCAAAAGATCGCATCACCTTCGACGCATGGACGATCTATCAAGCAGCCGCAGTTTTGCTGCGCTGCACGTAATGAAAAGCTTGATTAAACCTAGCCGGCTAGGTCGAATTGTGATCCCGTACGGGAGATACCGAGACGCTGATACCAGAGTCTATCATTAATCAAACGGTGGATATTATTCGCGAACGCGCGGACCATTTGAGGCGAGAATATTTAACGCTTCGCGATACAGAGCTATCGGTGAAACTGAAAAATTGCACCCTCGTTCGCCTAACGCGTCTTTCATACCGGACTCTTCTTTTTCGCTGTCTTTCAGTCGGGTATCTCTTTCGGATAACTTCATTTCTTTTCTAACGAATTTTATCTTATGGATAAAATTTATGGATAACGTTTCGATTGAATTATCTTTGATTAATCGTATATTGAATCTGCATGAGCGATACTCGAATGGTAGTGGGATTGTGACTTCAACGTTTGAAGATAATAGGTTAATTTCATTGTCTATCGAGTGGATTTGCTTAAAAAGATAATTGCAGTCGAGAACGAATTAAACGGTTGCGATTTCCGTTGCGACACCAACGCACGGAGAATTAGCGATCGGAACGGTAGAAAGATAGATACATCGAGGCACAGATTAGTCACCGATAAGAGATCGATGGACAACCGCTGGATAGTTATATTCCGTTGTCCCACGTAAGTCAACCACCTAGCTTCGAGCGCACAATGCAACACCCGTGTCAGGACAATGGGAAGCTCGTGCTCGATGATTAATCGGCTGGCTGGTTATAATAACTCCGATCCACAGTCAGACACGTAACTGGGATTTTATTACGGGCAGATTGAAAGTCGAAGATTTCGCGCCGATGAAAGGGAAGATGCTTGGAGACACTCTTGATATATTATCATTCAATCAAAAATCATTTAGAAGTTTTCTTTGTGAAATTATAATATAATTTGTACTTCCAAGATAGTCTGTCAGATTAATACGTACTCATATGAGGTTGCACGTCAAATATACGCACGTCAGATAAGTGATCGCTGAGTAACTGTCTTCCAAATAACTGTCCAGTATATGAACAACTATTAGATATTACATTGTAATTGGTTAGCATATAATTGAAGATGCACAGCTAGATTTTCAGAAGAATCTATTCATTGTTAATAAATATTTCTATTAAATATCTGCAAACTTGACATGATTCTAATATAAAAATTTGTAATAATATAATCTTAATTATACTTCCAATATAATTATCTGCCAGATTAGTGCGTACTCATATGAGGTAATACACACGTCAAATATGTGCATGTCAGATAAGTGACCACTAAGTAACTGTCTGCCATATAACTGACCACTATATAAACAACTATTAGACAATAGCTTACTGGATAATTTAAGATGCACAACTAGATTTCTAGAAGAATCTATTCATTGTTAATAAATATTTCTATTGAATATCTGAGAACTTGAAATAATTCTGATAAACATTAATATTGTGATACAAACACAATACAAATTATTGTAATAATTGTAATCAGCTTTGGGAAGTTTAAGCTCAACGGAGGTAATATTAACAGTCGTTTGAAAAATCCTAAATAAATAGATGGCCGATAAAAGTACGCAAGCTTTCGCGTGGATATTAATTTGATAAATGTACAGAGTAGCGGAGCGTTATGGATGGAGAATATTAGAATGGGATCGCGATTGTAGACGTGCATCTGTCCGAGATTAAATGCAATCCCAATCAAGACGATTCACGAACACTTCCGTGCCAGCTGATGGAAACAGTCCGCTCGATTTAACGACCGACTTTCCTTCGATTGTCTTTCGCAATCGAGCTTGATTCGAAAAGATGCTCTTGGGCGAGGTTCAGATTCGATTCCCGATTAAATTGCTCCTTCATTAATCTTGCAGTATTGAAAATTCACCACGTAACCACGATACGATAAAAGTGACCAACGATTCACTGGCACGATTTTATGAAATAGCAATAATGAACGCGGCTCCGATCTAAATCCAATAAGACCGAATGAAACCTCAAATGTTTTCAGAATCTTAATTGGAGAAATTACACGTACAAAGCAATAAAGTGTTTTAATGACCGATGATTAGAAAACCGCCATTGAACACGGCTCTATTGATTTTCTCGCATTTACTTTCACTGTGCTAAGAGCTTTATGAAACGTAATAATCGAAGAAGTTCTGGCTATAAACTTATACGACTTTAACGCGCAACTTCCATGGAATCGTGCAACTTTTTTCTGCCTCTAACAATGGATAATAAATTCGACTTGTTCTCGACAAATATGTGAAGTGAAAACGAGAGTCCCTCGACTCCATCGAGGGAAAGTAGTAAACTAAAGCAATGAGCAAACTTGATTAATATCAATTACATTCTAAGTTAAATAACACGTTTTTTAACATTCTTTAACGGTACTCTGAAAACTGCTGTATTCTTTTACTTTTTTATTAAAAAAAAAAATCTACAAATTTGGATGATGTCAATTTCATTTGCGGTATATTAGAATCTAGTTTGTTTGCAGTATATTAAGAATCCTAAAATTTCTTTTAACACTCTTCAGCACTGTAAAGATATGAATATGAAATCCCAATACTTTTGTATTAATTATCTGTCTAGAATTAATGAAAGGGTATTTCGGCTTTGAAGAGGCATGGTGCATAAAAATCTCGAAATATTTTCATCGACAAGACATGGAGGCAGAAGAGCTTCGCCAAGGACCATAGCCGAGCTCAGTTATTAAATCACGACTGCACGTGATTCATAACGGTCCTCGTCGAGCAAACGATAAAATTTTAAATACACCATTGTCCCGATCGCTA